TTTTTCTATTTCCATGGTAAATTTTAATTTTTCATGTATGTTGTTTAGATATTTTAAAAATTGTTTCAACTGAGAAATGTCTCCCTTCCAAATGCAAAACACGTCATCTACATATCTACACCAAAATTTAATGTTTTCTTCAAATATACTGTTATAATTAAGAATCATATTTTTCTCAATAAAATCTAGATATATATCTGAGATTAATCCTGATAAGGGCATGCCCATCGGTAAACCATCAGGTATGTGATAATATTTATCTTCAAAAGAACAATAATTCTGAGTAACTACATGTTTAAGAATTTTATTTAAATTGTTCGACGTATTTTGATCTGTAAAGTGGTTCTCAAAAAGTTGCGAGACAACCTCAAGAGTAAATTCAATAGGAACATTCGAATACAAGTTTGTAACGTCAAAGGAAACAAATAAAGTGTCGTCAATATTTAGATTTTTAGTTTTTTCAATAAAATCCCTGGAATTTTTAACTGTATACTTAGGTTCGAAATTTATGTGTTTGAAAATTTTTGACATGAATCTTGTTAACTTTTTTGTAGGAGCATTACCGTATGCTGTAATAGGTCTTATTGGCATATTTTCTTTGTGAAGCTTAGGCAGAGAATAGAGTCTAGGTATTTCAGGTTTAATTTCCATAAAATAGAAACTGTAAAAGTTTTTTTCCGAATTATTAAGAAAAGGAGTATATTGAATTAAAGTATCTTTACATTCTTTAATTATATTTCTAGTATTTTTAATGATCTTTTCTAAAGGATTGTTTTTTAGTTCAATATAATTATTTTTAATCAAGAAATCTATTGTTTTTTCATTATTTACGTTTATATCATAATGTTTAAATTTTATGTAAGATTCTACTGAAGATGAGAATTGTTTCCTCGAAATCGATATAGAAAATTTATTTTTATTTAAATTGACTTGATATAAATAAAGTTGTATTAAATGAAAAAAGTCCTTTTGGGGTTGTCACCTAAAAGAGACACTAATTCCTGTGAATGGTGGAGTACTAAGTATTAATACTAAGTATTATCGTGTTGATTGTCCAGCTCATACCCCAAAAATTATCTTCTGGACGCCGTTGAATCTTTGGCTATACAGTTACAACAGTTAATAAATCGAAAATAAAAATTAAATACGCTTGCAATCTCAAGATATAAAAACCTTAATAGGAAAGAGTAAAGGAAGTCTTGTCGTATCATCCCCTTCGTAAAGATTTTCCACCCCAGAGACTTGACCCGACAAGAATCATCCGCGTGTGCCCATGTACCGAACTAAGAAAATCATCTACGAAGATGGCTTATTTCAGGGCGGTAAGAAAAAGCGATAAAAAAGTAAGCTAGACGGAGAAAATGTTCGTCGCGTCTTTTCTGTGTAAAAGAGGAATCGGTGTGTGAGTGAAAGAAAATTACACGGAAAACCGCCCGGCCGAGACGGATACATCTTCCGCGGCCGCTGAAGTGATGATAAACTAATCCAACTTAGATAAACCAATCTGAAAATTGCCCCTCATATTTTTCCCCGGATCTGACGCCCTCCCTTATTTATGACCCTTTTCTCTTTTCCAAGGAAACATTCTCCTCTTCATTCACTTTTATTGCTAACAAATTGAATACGTATAAACGATTTTTTTTGATTACTTCGAATTTGACAAATATTACAAGTTTTGTTTAATAAGAAAATTATTTATAAATATATTTATTTATTTATAATTCACTCATACATCGATTTAAACGTAAACAACAACTTTCAATCGAATTAATCACACACAAGTCTTATTTAATCGATACAAAATCATTAATTTTTCTTATTTAACATTTATTTAATCTTTAAAATTAGACTAGTACGCATAGTTTATTTATAACAAATAATAATTACTTTAATCGTTTAATGATACATGGAGAGAGAAAGAATCGATCAATTTGAATGAGAAGAATCACAGATTGAAATAGAAAGTAGTCAAAAAAAAAATAAATTAATTAGGCAGTGATCAAAATTTCTTTTTTGTTTTAGTCTTAAAAAGCGTATCACATAACTTAACACTTATTACGGTTTATAATCATTCTTGGGGGCATCGTTTTCATCCCCTATTTCGCCTCGTTTTTCCTTCAAATTTTTTTGTATTACAAAGAGAGCTAATAATTAATTTTCCCAAAACTTCCTCATTCAACTAAGCGCTAATAAAGGTTCAAATAAATCTGTACGCGTCGTTACCACTTTCCTTTGGTTATTTTTTGGCTGTTTTTGTTTCTTCCCAATCAAAAATTTCGATAACTTCACTTTCGACTTGGATAACTTCTTCGTTACACTTCTTTCCGTCGCCTCCAAATCGATTAAAGCTAAATGTTCCAAAATATTCTTCGGTTTTTTCTTTTCTTGGGTTATTTCTAATTTTTCCTCGGCCAGTTTTGATTTGGTCCCATTTTTGTTCGCGTAAACGACGACGAAATGCGAATAAGATGGGGTGTTGATGTCGGCGAAATCCCTAAAATTCTCGAATTGTTCGTGTTGACTAGGTCTTTTATTGTTGTTGTAAAACGATGGTCTTCCATGTCCGTTGTGATAAAACGAATACCCCCCATCGTAATCGAATTCTTCGCTATCTTTATCATTGTAAAAAGTTCCTCCTTTAATAACCCCGAAATTTCCCGATCCTAAAATGCTGTTTTCGTTTGGGGATCGATCTTCGTAATAATCGCCTTTATACCCGCTTATTCTGGCCGATTCAAATCCGACGTGTTGTTGGTAAGCTGTTGGGCGGTGGCTGTAAGCTGTTTCTGGTTGGTAATAAAACGGTCTTGAATGGCCTAAAGGTTGGTCGTTGTATTGCGCGAAAGATGGGTAAAAATTTTGGCTGTCTTGAGAAACATCTAATTTTTCATTTTCATCGTTTTCCATATACATATCGGAATCGTCGAGATTTGATTCTTTTTGGTGGGTTGGCTCGGCTTCCTGATCTACTGGGAGTACTCCTAAAAATTAAAAGAAAACTTAATTAAGTAACTTTTACATCACCTCAAAAAAAATTATCTAAAACTTAGCCATTAAGAATTCTTTTTTGTTGATAAGGTCATAATTATTTTTTTATGTCGCTTTAAAAACCTCATTTGGATTTGGTGAAAGGAAAATATGTTAATAAACAAGTAGTAGTAATTGTATGGTTAAGTTGTCGGTTGGAGTTGAATTTATTAACAACTCCAGAAATGAAACGTTCGTGTGTGGTCATTCTCAATCAGAAATGAGAGAATTCATTTTAGAGATTTTTTATAAGAATAATTTTTGATTTAACTTCTAAAATCTTTACTTTAATAGAAATGCAACAATGCAAGACCATAAAAATAGAAGCGGTGTATTAGTATTTCGGAAGCTTGAATAGGAAATTCCAAGAAATGAAGACTTTCAGAAATCAATCAAAAAGCTGAAAATTTAATTGGAGAAGGATGTCTTGTAAAAGATCGGAATGTATAAAAATATTTTCCGTTCACCCCATAAAGCCATTGATATGCTTTGTCGCTTTCGTGGGACACCTGTATATAACAAAAATTTACATTTAAAGAAGGTTAATTTTATGCCAAATCGCATAAAAGACTAAAATGTATTCCTCGTCTATTGACAAAGTAGACTTGCACAGGTCTAAACACAAAAGGTTTAAAGAAGAAAGAAAATTTGCTTCATTTTATGTATAACAGTTTTTAAAAAATCGTGAAAAATCGAAATCTTAAGATATCGTGATGAAATATGTGTTACTTATAGAGGAAAGTGTGTACTTTTTCATGATCAAAACCATATTTGAAAACCTTTTTTTGTTCTTGAGATAACAGCTTTTGAATCAACCTCAATTTTTAGCTACATAACAAATTGATGTATAGTTTATAAAAAATCGTAAAAAATCGAAATTTTAAGATATCTTGATGTAATATTTGTTACTTATAGAGGAAAGTGTGTTCTTTTTCATAGTCAAAACCATATTTGAAAATCTTTTTTCGTTTTTGAGATAATAGCTTTTGAATTAACCTCAACTTTTAGCTACATAACAAATTGGTGTATAGTTTATAAAAAATCGTAAAAAATCGAAATTTTAAGATATCTTGATGAAATATTTGTTACTTATAGAGAAAAGTGTGTACTTTTTCATGATCAAAACCGTATTTCAAAATCTTTATTCGTTCTTGAGATAACAGCTTTTGAATCAACCTCTATTTTTAGCTACCTAACAAATTGATGTCCTGAAAAAAATCGTAAAAAATCGAAATTTTAAGATATCTTGATGAAATATTTGTTACTTATAGAGGAAAGTGTGTACTTTTTCATGGCCAAACCCGCATTTGAAAATCTTTATTCGTTCTTGAGATAATAACTTTTGAATCAACCTCAATTTTTAGCTACATATCAAATTGATGTCAGAGTTTATACAAAATCGTAAAAAATCGAAATTTTAAGATATCTTGATGAAATATTT